GTGGGCCCAAGGGTTGAGTCACTTATTGGTTGTTCTTAAGGACCTAGTAAGCCATCTCAAGGCCTTGATTTGTTTGGTCAAGCCTTGGTTAATGGGCTCAAATTAGATTAAGTGTATGGTTGATTTGGTCAACCAAGTATGACCAAAGGTTGGGGTTAAGTCCAATAAGTTTGAATTAATGTTTTAAGCTTAATAGAGGTGGTCACATGCAATGAGAAGGTCATGTGGATAAAAATATATGTTTGAACCCTCCAAGGGATATTTGGTTAACTATGCTTAGCTTGGTCAATCACAATTGACCAAAGCTTGATATTGGGCTCATTCACTTTCAAATGTCATTTCAAACTTATTAGAAGAGGTCTCATGCAAAGAGGAGGTTTCTAAGTTTAAAATATAGATTGAATGGCTTAAGGGGCTTTTGGGTTAATCATGGTTAACTTGGTCAACCAAGGTTAACAAGAGTTTGGGTTTAGTTTTAACATATCCTAAATGATGTCTGTAATGAATTGAAGGAGTTTCCAATGTTTGGATATGAACTATATGCTTGAGGATGGACATAAGGAATTTGACTTAGGAGAGCATGGAGGTTTTAGCTGTTATATATAACTGTTTGCTGGGAAGCTGGAGTGGTAGTTGAGAAGGTAGAAGAATTGGCCATGAAATATCATAGGAAGAAAAAAGCTTCTAAGCTGGTGCCTCTAATATCATGAAAGAACTCAATAATTGTAGCTGAAAACATAGTAAAACAGAGAAGCAGAATACTGTGGAAATTTATAGTAGAAGTATCACAGCGCAGTGAAAAAGTTACTACAATGTAAAACACAGCTTTGTGAGTATTTATATATGTATAGAGAACAAAGTCTGAATTTCATGCAGAAGTTTCCATCGCCAATGGAAGTTTCAAAACTTCAGATCTAACATATATGTCGAATCTCGAAGACGAACAAATTCAGATCCAACATATTTGTCTCTGGTTTTTATCACCAATGGAAGTTTTCAAATTTTCTATTATTTGGCGTTGCAACTTCTCATTAAATGACGCTGTATTATTCTCTTTAGATGATTGGACAGCTTCATAAATCAACTTATTATAGATGCTAGAGTTCATAGATAGATCTTTTTTGTTTAAAGCTGCTCTGATGTTTCTATGATGGCTATTTATTTGAGCTTTCTGGTTCATCAAGTTCACCTTTCTTGGTAGAAATTTCAGTTTCTATTTGTAAAGGATTGGTGTTTATTCGAGCTATTTTGAGGAGTGGTGTGAACGAGTCGGTTAAGGTTGAGTTGTTATGGACTTCAGTAAGAGCTTGATTAATTAATGCAGGTCGAGTTAGAGCTTGAAGTTAAGCTTATTTGCTTAGGTTGGCTTGAGCCAGTTCATTTATTATTAAAGAGAGAATAATTTTGATTCAAACTGTTGTTATAATTAAATGATAATAATAATTAAAAACTAGAAGAAAAATACTAAGAAATTATTTGATATAAGAAAAGGAAAAATAATTTCAAATATTCTTAACAATTTTCTACTTAAAGTTTTGAATCAAATATATTTTGAATGTGTTTTATATTCATATTTTTTAATTAAGGAGGCTCACAAGCTAACAAGTGATTAGAACTCTCTCAAATTTGACTCATTAGCTCATTAAGCTCAGCTGATGAACCACTTATCAAGCTAAGTTTGAGCCGTCTCACAACTAAGCTTAGCTCTATTACACCCCTAGTTGTGATTATTCTTCTTAGTTGTTTTGTTTCCAAGGACTGATTTGCATTGGATCAGAGTCTCGGTAGGTTGCATCAAAAAGATTTAACGGATTAGACTTTGTATTAGTTGTTTAAGCTTTGTTATTCCCTTGGCTTGAATCCTGCTGTGGTTTTGCTTCATCTCCACTTCATTTGCTCCAGTAGCTTAGTGCTGGAAGTTTATTCATAATGATTGTTCTATTGAAAGTTGATTTATTGTGATCAAGGTTGACTCTGCTGTTGTTGGCTTCTTAAAGTGATGTTGCTTTGTCTCAACTCTTTGCTGCATTTTCAGTTATTTCGCCGAACTTTGCTTGGATAGTGGAAAGGTTGTGTTTATTCCATTTGTAGTTCAGGTACCATGCTTTTCTATTGTTAGTTTTAACAGTTTTGAGGATGATTATGGAGCTTTGTATGAATAACTTCGTTACAACAACAATAACAAAATCAAGCCTTTATCCCATTACGTGGGATCGGCTATATGAATCATTTTTCTCCATTGTGTATTATTTAGAGTCAAATTCTAATTTAAATCTAATAAGAAAATGTCATTTCCTATATTTTCTAACCAATTTTTTTAGGTCTACATTTACCTTTCTTAAGATAGGCTAAATCTATTACGTCTACCCTCTAACCGGGTCTTCAAAAGGCCGATGTTTCATATGTCCAAACCATTCAAGGCAGATCTCTCAAATCTTATTTGCCACTTGAGCTACTCCAAATTTTTCACGTATATTCTCATTTCACATTCTGTCTCTAAGAGTGAAGTTACTCATCTACATGAGCATTCTCATCTCAGTAACACTTGACTTACTTTTATGCTTCTCTTTTAATGGCCAACATTCTATGCCATAAAACATTGTAGGTCTAACCACCATTTTATAGAATTTTTCCTTAAATTTGAGGGATACATTTCTATCACGCAATAGGCTAGATGCATTCCTCCAATTTGACTATCAACTTGAATTCTACTAATAGTTTCCTTTTTTATTTGACCATCACTTTGATCAATAGACTCGTGATATCTAATACATGTATTCTTATTAATGACTTGATCGCCTAAAGTCACAATCCCCTCACTAGATCTATTAATATTAAAATTATATTTAATGTATTTGATTTTAGATCTACTCAAACAAAAACCATTAAACTCTAAGGCTAACCTTCATAATTCAAGTTTTCCTTAAACTCCCTCTCTAGTCTTATCAACAAGAAGGATATCATTAGCAAAAAAACATACACCAGGGTACATCCTCTTGCAAATGTATATATACTTCATTGCTTCTTAAAAACCTTACAAGTTGTTCTCTTTGTAACTTTCTTATTGGTGATGAAAGGACTTATTGTGAAACCATACTTAATGGTGGGATAATAGTGCTACAAGGCTCCAAACAACTAGTCAACAAATATTAAAGATGATTTCACTTTCTTGGCCTTTTATTAGCATACAATCAAGCAATTCTTTTTCTAGCAATTGATGAGTGCATATTTCTTCAATTAATATTTGTTGTATAGTTGAATTACCTATCATTTCATCCCTCTAATTGATAGTTGAAATTATTCTACTATAGATTATAAAAGGTCCAACTTTTATGTAATTTTTATTTTATCACTTTAGAAAAAAAAATAGACCATTGACCATAAACCCTAAATACTGCTAACAACTCCACATGCCACCCGACTATCCATATATGGTCCTAGCCCATCACACAACCTTACCACTCCTCATATAAGTCTAAAATGAGGCCTATTGAAACCCCCACCTAGATAGAGCCTAACGCTAATTATGCTCAGACTCTTTTAAAGCCCCTTAAAATTCACCATACACCAATACACTACCACTAAGCAAGTATATGCCTTCTCGTTTGTGTATTTCTTTCCTCCTAAATTAAAATTGAGTTGATGATTATCTCTCTGACTCTAACATACCCTATTAATAGTTCTCCCTAATTTTGTAGGTTAAGATATATAATTGGCGAAACCAATATTTTGTATGTTCTTGAAATAACTTCTCACAATTTTTAGTCTTCTTATCTCTACCATTCTGAAGACTGCAACATATATACTTTTTTTAAATTGAGATATTTCATCAATTTTGAGGAAGTTTGTGCAATAATGAGGTGTTCCTCATCATCTTACTTTTCACTAAGAAGTAATCAATGTAATATTTTAAACTCATTTTCCTTTTGAAGATAGAAGATGTTAAAAAAGTCATTCTTCCAGCTAAGATCAATAAATTTATTAGATATGAGAGTTGCTAGGTAGTAGACACAAGTGGCATAAATAAGGCTAATTTTTTATTTTATTTTATTTGAGCAGCATTACTCATATTATAAGATTATCATATTTAAAATATTTATCTTATTAAGTTATATCTATGGTATTATTTTATAAAGTCTAAAGAGAATATATAAGGGCATTATTTGCAATGAAGTCCAATTCCATTTTGTTAATGAAAGTAGGACAAATTGGAATGAATATTTTCATATAGATTAATCGTGTCTCATATTTTTTATATATAACATTTATAATTATAATAAAAACTTATTTTACAAAAAATAGTGTGCAATGTTATAGCTTTTTTATTATATAACTCATGCTTTGTTTGTGACAGTTTTCTTACTTTTTTTAAAACAGCTTTCTAGCACAAAAAATTTTAATTCAACAAATTTTTATACTAGAAAGGTGTTTTAGAAAATATCAAGAAAGCTATCCCTAACGAAGCTTTTCATACTCAAAATTTTGGGTGTTGCAATGTTGCCACTATTTATGGGAGTAAGGATGTGTGGGTTAGAAGTTGTTTTTGGGAGAGTCATGATAAGATGTTGGTGGGAGAATCCCCTTTCATAGTGGGAGGGGACTTTAATTGTATTTTATCCAAGGAGGATAAAAGAGGTGGAAAAAAATTATATTCTCCCAAGGTCCTCAAGATATGAAAACCTTTTTAGCTAATAATGATTTACATGATACATGTATTATTGGACCAAGGTATACTTGGTGTAATAATAAAGAAGGCAATTCGAGGATTTGGGAAAGGATAGATAGATGCTTGTTGAATGTTGTAGCTCTTCAACGAGTCCCTTATGCTATGGTTTGAAGATATGTGGAGATCTTACTCTACAGCGTGGAATGTGGAGCTTAAAGCTTGGAGAAGGACTGATTTTGGCAATCATGCTGAAATTTTATAAAGGAAGCTGAAAAGATCACAAAAAATGTTGTATTACTGGAATATGAATAAAGTAAGGGACCTTTCTGCGTTGATGGAGAATTTGAAGAAGGAGATTATGGAGTTACAACTTAAAGAAAGTTTGAATAAAGGTTTGAATCAACAAGATTTGCTTCTGTTAAGGAGCAAAGTACATGAGCTTAATGTTACTTTGGCATGGTTGGAAACATGGTGGAATCCGAGAGCTAAAACAAGATGGATCCAAGAAGGTGATTCAAAATCCAATTTTTTTCATGACTATGCTTCTGCTTGAAGAAATGAATGCAAATTAATCAAATAAATGATGCTATTGAATGCCTTGTGGTTGATCAAGACAAAATTGAATATTTTTTCCTTAAGTTTTTTAATCAGAAATGGAAGTAGAGGAAATGAAAATTTTCATGTTGGTCTGAAGTGAATAATCTACAAAGAATTGATAATGTAGAATGGAACATGCTTAATGCTGATTATACTCAAGATGAAACGTTGGAAGCTGTCAAGAGTTTGGGGAATAATAAATTGCTAGGGATGGATGGTATTACTGCCTGATTCATCAAATTCTACTTGAGTATTATTAATGATGACTTATGGAGAGCAGTGAATGAATTTTTCACCAATGGGAAGATGCATTCTAAGTGGAAGGACATTTTAATTATTCTAATCCAAAAGTGAAGAACCTAACGGAACCCTCGCAATTTAGACCAATTAGTTTGTGTCAATTGATTTATAAGGTGGTGGCTAGAATGATAATGAACCGTGTGAAGTTTTGTTTGCCCAAAATAATTACTAATGATCAAGTTGCTTTTGTACCTAGTAGATCTATGTCGGATCATTGTTTATTGGCTCAAGAAATCTTCAATAAGTTTATATTTTCCAACTCCAAGAAAGGATTAATGGTGGTGAAAGTTGATATGGAACAAGCTTATGATAACAAGTATTGGCTAACTCTAGCTAAGACGTTATGTTGGTTTGGGTTTCCTCCAAAACTTGTTAATCTTATTATGGAATGTGTTCAAAAGGTGAGATTTTCTATACTTATTAATGGAAGAAGATTGGGTTGGATTGAAGCCAAAAGTGGGTTTAGGCAAGGATGCCCACTATCCCCTTATTTGTATATTTTGTGTTCCCAGCTGCTATCTAATGTCATTTATCAAAGGGGTACTGATTTGGGTATTAAGGTTGCTCCAAAATCTAAAAAAATTACATATTTACTATATGCTGATGATGTATTATTATTCTCTAATGCTTCTATGAGATCTACTCTTTGTATAAAGAAAATCTTGAGGGATTTCTATGGGTGGACCGGCCAAAGAGTGAACAACATGAAATCTTAAATCCTTTTTCGGAATTCAGTCAAGAGAAGGAGTAAGAAGAAAATTGCTAAAAAGTTGGGATTCATAATTGTGATAGAAATGCAATACTTGGGTGTGAAGATGGCTCGAAGAAGGTTAGTTAATTATAATTTCCAAATTATTTTGGACCATGCATTGGAGAGGTTAAATGAATGGGGGAATAAATGTCTTTCATTGGCGAGAAGAGTTCTTTTGATAAAAAGTACTTTTATGTCGTTACCTCTCTTTTTAGCTACACATTCATTGGTTCCTAAGGAATATTATATGAGCTGGATAAACTTTGTAGAGATTTCTTATGACATAAAGACAAAGATAATAAAGGTCTACACTATGTTTCATGGGAAGAGCTTTGTAAACCAAAGTTGCTTGGTGGATTAGGCCTTCAATATTAAGTTGATAAAGTGGGACCTTTGAGGACTAGAATTATTTGGAGATTCATTTAGAATCCATGTTAGTTATGTAATAGATCCATCAATTCAAAATATGAAAGTGATGTTTGAAGTGGTATGATCAAAAGGGGTAATTCTCCATCATGGAAAATTCTGGTTGATGGAGCTAAGCACTTAAAAATATTGTGAGATGGAAGTTGGTGAATTGTGAGATGGAAGTTGGTGAATGGCATGAAAGTAAATATTATGAATGACACATGGATCTTTGATAAACCACTTAGTAAATGTCCTACTTACGTTAAATGTGATGAACTCAATAATGAATTAGTTTAGAAATTTATATTAAATGATGGCAACTGGAATTGTTTGGAGTTGCAAAAATTTTTAATGAAGACTTGATCTCGGTCATCAAACATATTATCCAGATCTTTCCAGATTTTAATGAGGATTGTATTGAGCTTATTGAAAAGCATTCAGATAGATCAATCACTGCTCTTTCATTTGAAGCCTAGATGGCATATGATGTGTATCATAGGCTGGCAGATCAGAACCAAACCGAGAATTTGAATTGCATCAGAAAATTCAATCTTTTGCCAAAAGTTGAATTGTTTTGGTGGAGATTATGCAAGAATGCTCTCCCTACAAATTCCTTTTTGAGTTATAGGAACTTATTGCAAACAAATAGATGTGCTATTGGATGTCATGAGGTGGAAAATCATGAACACGTGGTTGTTTATTGTATGCAGCTGCTTCAAGTTTTGAATAAACTTCGTGAATGGGGTTTTCAAGTTCCTATTTTTTATTCATTTTCAAATTGTTTGTAGGAGTTGAAAAGAATGCCTAAAGTTAATTTGAATATTGTCAAACTATATTGCATAGTAGTTTATTTATCCTGGAAGAGGCATAATCAAATAAAGCTTGGATTGGATATATCATATGTAAAATTTTTGGCTTCGAATGCTTTAACACTTAGTATGTAGTTGTTAAAGAGTCCAATATTGGAGAACTGGGTTGCTAATCTCTGAATGGAGTCTCTTGATGTTTGGCATCCTCCTCCTCTAGATTAGATAAAGGTCAATGTGGATGCTTCCCTTAAGGAATCTTACAATGCAGGTATTGGAGTTATCATTAGAGATCATAAGGGTTGGTTTATTTGTTATTTTGGTAAGCAGATGAAGCATTGGGATGCAAATACTCTTGAGTTACAAGCTGTTCTTTTACTTAGAGAGCATTTGCAAGAATGGATGTTCCATTATAAGGGAATAATTATAGAAGGAGACAATAAGAATGTGATTAAGTGGCTTAAAGAATCATTGAAGAAGATGAAATGACAGCAATCTGAAGATCGGAATAAAGATATTATTTTCCTTAATGATTTTAATAACGTTATTTTTTATTTGGTTTCTAGAAATTGTAATAAAGTAGCTGATTGTTGTGCTATTTTAGCTTTAAGTAGTAGTTTTGTTTTTAACTACTTTTCTCATAATTGCATTTCCTCTTCTTTGTTTCATTTAATTAAGAATGAATGTGATTACTATCTTTAGTTGCTTGTAATTCCTTTTTTCCATTAATGCACTTTGCAACTTTTAAAGAAAAAAAAAACGAAGCAGTTTCATTTGGAACAGCTTTCTTGATGCTTTCTAAAATAGCTTTTTAGTACAAAAATTTTTCGAACTATAAATTTTTATACTAAAAAGTTATTTTAGAAAACAATTAGAAAGTTGTCCCAAATAGAACTTTAAAAGATAAAATACTTTTTTTGCTTTAATTATAAACAACATCACAATAGTAAAATTATAAAAATTGAGTTAATAAACCCATCTACTATGTAAAAATTAGAATTTGATTGCCTTTATATCTTCTTAACTTATTTTCATAATTGCAAAAGCTCAATAAAAAAATAATAATAAAGTTGTGTAAGGACTAGCAACAATGTTTAGCAAAAAGTTTCTTCAATAGTAAAGCACTTTAGTAAAGGGATAGCTTTATCACATCTATGGGCCATTCATCCCAACATCAACTAAAGGCGATATTCATGAAACTCATATTGGCTATGGAGCTTTGGCTCTCACCACAAAGTTATGAATTCATAATTTAATTCATTAGAAGTTTCAAAAAGATTAAAAAAAGTTTTTATTTGATATTGGTAACATAATAAAATGTTTTTTTTATAATTTTTTAATAAAATCGATTGCCTTTGCTCAATATATAAAAAAATAAAAAGAGAAAATAAACATATGTTAGGAGCAGGGGCAGATCCGTCTTTAGCTCAGGAGGGACAATTACCACCCATCTCCCACCCCCCACCCCCCACCCCCTAAAAAAAATAAAAAACCATTTCTTATAATAATTTAGGTAATTTGTCCCCCTCCAAACCTTTTGGAATCTTTCCTAATTGTCATTAATGACTCTTAGGAGTGATTTAAGTGTTTGGAACCAATTTAGTATTTTTTTAATTATTTATTTTGATTAATTGTTAGATTTCCTTATTTATTAAATTTTGAACAATTTTGAGGGTTGATGACAGGACTCTTATTTTTCTTGATTGGATATTTAATTATGAGAATTAGCATTTTAATTTATATTTTTTGGCTTTAAAAAAATTATGATTTAATTAAGGTCCTAAGTCACTTATGTAGGCTTTTTTTGGGTTACCTAGATAGTGGACCAAATGTTGTTCAAATACAATGACATTTAAACCATGTGTTCACTAGACCCCAAGGTATATATATATATATAGTTCAAACATTCAAAATCCAACATGATAACATAAGGTATGAACATTATAAAAGTTAGCTGGAAATACTTTAGTAGAAATCAGAACCACCTCCACCGGCAGTGTCGACCTCTCCATCTTGCTTTCCTCCCTCTCACCGCCAGTGACCAAGGATTTGTCGAGATGGCAGGATCGGGATGGGATGGGTGGCTTCGGCATCGGGGCTGGCTGATTCGACGTGGATGATCGTTAAATGGAGATCTACGAAGAGGAAGTTGTGGTAAGAAGGAGAATGAGTCGGCTAGGGTACGAAAAGAGGAGATCTGCCATGGTGTCTTAGCTAGCGGTTTGCAAAACGCTACTAAAAAAATATTATGATAACTTTAGCCGCGGTTAAAACCGCTGCTATGGCCTTCCATATTAATGCAAAATTGGAAAAATGATATGGGGCAAACTTTTCTCATTCTAGAAAAGCTGAAGAGGTATGAAAAAAAAAAAAAAAGATCTAAAGCACCATTTAAATAAGCACAATAATGAACATTAATGATGCTTGCTCAAATCCAATCAAACAAGAGAGGAGCAAAATTTTGTAGGAACATTCTATCATCGATGAAATCTTCATTAATTGTATCAAAAGCTTTCTAAATGTCAAATTTAGTTATGAAAATTACTAATTTTTTGTGTATTATATGCCCCCCAAAATCTAAATAAAAAAAATGTTAAGTATCTAAAATAAAATGACACTTTAAATCAAGTGAGAATTAACTAAATAT